GGGGGGAGAGATGTCATCCACCATTGTTTGTGAAAGTTTGTACCGAATGGACACACACAGCATCGTGGCGTAATGGTTCTGTGCTTTTCCTTCAACGAAGAAGAGGTGCGGGTGGTTGGCAGGGATTCTGCCGTGGCCCTCTCATTCTTTCCTACCAAACTTAATGATATATCGTCCTTATCTCTCCGCTTTCTTTTCAGTGTGTATGTTGTTCTCTAGTAACACCTCTGATTTTTACCTATTCGTGCTTTAAGGGCTGTAAACTTTTACTAAAACTAAAACTAAGAAGAAGTGGCTTTGTTTCCAGGGCGTGAAATTTGTTTTGTTATCGATATCGAGTATTTTCGTCTTCTTTTTCGATTCTGTAAGTATATCTCCCCTGCTTACAAAGAAAACGCAGTCTGCTTCTTTAAAATATCTATACTGTGTTGAAGGGGGGGGGAGCTTAAAAGAAAATTTAAATGTCATCTATTTACGATAAATGGACCCCAGCAGGCTCACAAGATACAAACTCTTGAAGAGTAGATAGAATCTAGTACGTTTATTTAGTGTTTCACTGGCTTCTCCAGTGTCTGTGGTGTAGCGGCTAGGCGCTTCAGTGTCACAAGCAGGAGACCCGAGTTCGATTCCCGAGTGGGGAAAAAATAATTGTATTGAGTATCTCGGCCGTTCTGCTGGGGTGTTTTATTCTAGCATCTGCGTTTGTTGCCTTTTTTTTTTGTCCAAAAGTTGCCACAAAATTGCCAAAAGTTGCCATAAAAGTTGCCTTTAATTTTCAAGCTTTCTACTCTCTGTGACGACGCATAGCAAATATGTTGATAGAGGTAACTTGATCTTAAGCACCAGAATTTCTTGTGCTGTTTTAAGCATTCAGAAATTCAATTTTTGTAGCCACACAGAGTGTAAAAACGTGAAAAATACAGGTTTTACAACAGGAACAAATCAAAATTAGAGCAGTACATCAACAATCACAGTAATTTTCAAATAAGGGTGTGTGTCCACCTATCCAAAGATTGGCCGTTTTAACCTTAAGCGTGTGTAATTCAAGAAAAAGTACAGAAAATTACATGTTAATTATGGAATCACACGCAATGGGCCTGCCAGTGTCAGTATTCAGTTTTGGTGGAGACACGTTCTAACATAACACATTGCACAAAAAAGGTAGGAACAACATCAAATTAAATTACATTCCATATATATATATA